AATCTAAACGGGGTTAGATCGCCGAAACAACAGCCCTTGGTCGGGTAAAACCCGAGTCATTCTGGTACGTAGAACCGGCTGTCGTGGGAATGGAGAATTACCGTTCTTGTAGGGTGGTTGCTTGGTTTTCTCGTTCTAAAATTATATATCTACACTCTATTGTTTGCGGATGTACTTTCAAGGTACTGCCAATGTAGAAGTATTACATATATTCCTCAACTTAAGCTATGTTGGTGATACTTACCGGGTCGAGAAATTGACATTTTGTTAAATGGGCTTTAATGAATGGGGAATAGCTATTGTACAGAACGGCAGGTATTCTTCTGATGTTTAGCCAATATTTATTTGTCAGATATTGTGTGTTAGCACGTTATGTTCAATTGAGTCCGTATATCAATATATTCACCGGCACTTATATAGTTTCAACAATTACTAAGCAAAGACCAAACAGAAGCCCGATATTTAAGCTGTCCATAGAACTGAAGATAAAGATGAAACGATACGAGTAAACACAAGTACATACTCGATACTTTTCGTTCGATACCAAGTTTTTTGGAATTGATACTTTTGAACCATGCACTGAGTAGGTATCGAAAAACCAGTACTCGTATTGATACCCGATACTAATACCTTGTTCGGACCGACAACGAATTAACGTTGGAAACTAATTTTTTGATTGTGGGCTGGAAGTTGCTGTTGTTGTCGTTATAGCGGCGGCAACAACCCCGCCCACGTCGGTTAGTCCCTCAATCGTTGTCGTCAATCTCTTCTAGCGGTAGCGGGCAAATTTTAGAATGGTAACCCCCCGAGTACGGAATTAAGGAAATTGGAAGGGGGTTGGGGTAGAGGGGGTTCTAAAGGGGGTTTATGTAAAGTTTGAAAGCGCGAAACATTATAGTTTTAAAGTAATTTTTTATTAAAGTTGTGTGGGACTACTTTACAATATATAATGCACTTTAAACTAAATTTTCACGTTATTTACTCTCAATATTTGTGCAGTCTTTTAGCATATTACAGCAATCCCACTACAGCCGGTTCTACGCACCGGAATGACCCGGGTTTTACCCGACCAAGGGCTGTTGTTTCGGCGATCCATTTGAATCGGAAGATAAAATCAAATGCGTATTACAATTCGAATAAGTCTACATCACACATTTATAATTGGAATGATTTACGTATATAAAACTATGTTCACATATCAATATTATCTCAATCAAAGCTCGTTTTTTAATCACCCTGTTTACACAGGCAAATCTCAGATTATTAGCCGTCAAATTTGTTGTGCTTGTTATTCTCACATCTCAAGGAAAAGTTATTTTATTTTTCTCTGTGCCACCGTGATCACGTTTTTCTGCTATATTGAGCAATATAGATATATTTTAACTTAACATTTTATTAAAAAAAATACCTTTAGAACCCTCTTTTCCTTGCCAGCGTCCATTTTTGTTTACTTTTACATTTGCCATTTCTCCTCTTCTTCGCAAAAACAATCGATAAAACTAGGATGGACACCGAAAAGTTATCGGTTAAATCTGAGATTATTTTATAATTACAGATTAATAAGGGAGGAATTTTATATGGCTAATCTCTTTTTCTAATTACAGATTAGGAAGTTAAGCTCGAAAATGAGGATAATCTACTTATATGTGAACCTAGTATNGTGTTAAGCTCGAAAATGAGGATAATCTATTTATATGTGAACCTACTATAAAACTACCTAGTAGAAGTCTGAAATGCGACTATGAATAGAAGTGAATTTTAAGTTGGTACTTAAATTTAATTTGCAACTTTATTAGTTTCGACTTAGGGTCTGTGCCAAATGATAGAAAAGATGAAATTTTGACGGATCAAAGTAAAAATCTGAAATTTCTCGTGGTGAATACGAACGTCAGAATTTTACCTAGCTCATGGGGCTAGGTAAAATTTTGACAGCTTATAACCATGTATACACATAATATTGCTTGGCGGTAATAAAGAGTGAATATGAAAATGAAAGCTTAAACAGCAAAAAAAGCGCAAGTCACTTGCAAATTATAAAATAAATATAAATTATAAGAATTTTAGCATCACACAACAACGTGCTTTCGCACGAGCGTTTTGTTGGTTTTTCAACTGTCAAAATTTTNAAAGCTTTCGCACGAGCGTTTTGTTGGTTTTTCAACTGTCAAAATTTTACTTTGCATTTGGCACAGCAAAATTCAAATTTTTTGTACTACACCATAGCAAATTTTTACACCCCGTGTCACCACGGAGAAAAAAGTTACCGATTGGCACAGGCCCTTAGTGGCTNTAAACAGCAAAAAAAGCGCAAGTCACTTGCAAATTATAAAATAAATATAAATTATAAGAATTTTAGCATCACACAACAACGTGCTTTCGCACGAGCGTTTTGTTGGTTTTTCAACTGTCAAAATTTTACTTTGCATTTGGCACAGCAAAATTCAAATTTTTTGTACTACACCATAGCAAATTTTTACACCCCGTGTCACCACGGAGAAAAAAGTTACCGATTGGCACAGGCCCTTAGTGGCTGGACTTGAATACGCGCCATTGAAGCGACTAGTTGAAAGACCGTTTACACCAGGCGATTGTTGCTTTCAACTAAAAATTGCTTGAAAAATCGCCTCATGTAAATTCCTTATAAAGCCCAGCCAAATGCGTTTTAAAATGCTGATTACAATAAAACACAATTTTAATCGAATAATCACCCCTAAAGACTAAAGGTTTTCATTCCTAAGACAGCCGGTTCTACGTACCGGAATGACTCGGGTTTTACCCGACTAAGGGCTGTTATTTCGGCGACCTAACCCCGCTTAGATCGGCGATACCCCCCAATCATTGGTAGTCCATTGAGCAACTCTTTGCCGCCGGATTGCTCCGCAACCTTCTTCTTCAGGCGGGCGTAGAGACCAACCCCAGACCAGAAACGTATTTCTGCTGTGTTTGCCAGAATCGACTCCATCCAAACTCCACTTCGATTAGGTGCAATTCATGCAACGAATGGAGTCACCTAAGAATCTGCTCTGGTCTTAGGTCTTATCGGGAGTGGACCACAAGCTATGTGGCTCCCTGCTGCTCAAGCCAAACGGCACAATCAGCCTCCACGGCTACCCGCTCGCGCAACGCACCCAACACCCGAAGAGCCTGCACGGCTCCGAGAAGCTCCTCTGGACAGCAGCAAACCTCCCAACCCAAAGCCCACCCGCCCTCACAGTCTACCGGCCTGTCTAACTTGCGCGTGCGAGCCAACCAGCAGCTCCTGGTTGCACACACCAACTGGACCGTATGCCAGAGAGAATATATCGGAACGTGACATCGGTCAAATGCAACTCACGCATTGGCTGGTGCAACTTCTGCCTATGCTCCGGTCTACGCACCACGCGCGAATGGACTGCGAAATACAGCGCCACATGCTGTAGAGCACCGCTGACACAGACAACAACGCCTTCATTGCAGCCATCTACCATCAGGCAGCAACAGCAAGCGCGTCAGAACAACAGGCCCAAGGTATAACTCACTCCTCCCTCACCCCCTCGTATCGCGACAAGCCTCCCAAGGCATAAGAAAGTCCTACAACTCAACTGCAATAAACTCCAGAGTAAGATTGAGGAGATAGTAGTCTTTATGGGTCGGCATGGCATATTGATAGCTGCGGTCCAAGAAACGAATTTGCACAGCAACTCAACTTGATTGGGTTGCGCCGCCTATATGCTCCGTAAAGATCGCGAGCGAAATAATGGTGGCGGACTAGCGTTCATCCTACACCACACAGTGCAGCATCGGCTTATCGAAGAAGACATCGACCCGAGGGACACCACCCTAGAATGTCAGGGCATAGCTGTCCGGTCAGGCGATGTCGAGCTCGAAATATTCAACGTTTATATACCCCCTGTCACCTGCTGCCCGGCAGGGTATCACCCTGACATAGGTGCGCTACTCAGAGGTGAAAACCGAATGGTAGTAGGTGACTTCAAGCGCCCCACGATCTCTGGCACTCAAGCCTGGCCAATGATCGTAGGGGAAAGCTTTTGGCTGAGCAGATAGATGATTCGACATTCTGCACCATGAACGACGACGCCCCCACCAGGATTATGGGTAGCTGTATCAGCTCGCCAGACCTCACAATTGCTGGCGCTGTTTTGATCAATAGCATTTCATGGCGACCTATGCTAACACTAGTATCAGACCATAATCATCCAGATCAATGAGCCCACCGACTTTGCTCGCGCGGACCACCGAACTTACACCAACTTCATCAAAGCTGATTGGGACGGCTTCGTGGAAGTCACCGAGAGCAGCTTCGCCGCCCTTCCCATACCCACAAACATACATACTGGTGAACGCAGGTTTCGCATGGTAGTCACTGCCGCAGCGGCTCGCTTCATCCCGTCCGGACGTATCGAGGAAGTCCGCCCAAATTTCCCTGCCGAAGCAGCTGTACTAGCATATGAGCGTCAACACCTATGCAACACCTACGCCACAATAGTGTGTTAGTGCGTTGCGGATAATCACCATTTCATGTTGATAATTAGTTGGAGATTCAATGTAATTAAGTTTTATGTTTCTGCATGAAAACTCGAATTTGGACGAAACAAAATAAATATTAAACCGGCCAATTATCAAAGGGCGCAAAAATATGGGAGTTGGCTATCTTTTCGCTTCGCGCTGCAGTTTCAACGATTTATGTGGCATGCGTTGTGCATTTTCATACAATTCATCTTATCTGTCAAAGCGAAGCTGTCACGTAAAGCGAAGCAAGAGTTTTGTGTGGCTTCAGCTTTATCATCATCTAACACGCAACTGTTTAGTTGATCAGAAGTACACAAAAACGCGTTCAGAAGGGGCAATCGCAAAAGTTACTGAGCAGTTGCGCCTTCTGAACGTGCCCAATAAAAATCTGCAGAATCGACTAGGCGATATATCGATATGTTTTGACCATATTTATTAAAGGAAAATTTTGATATTGTTTTGAATTTCAGCATAATTTCACAGTAATTAAAATGCTATCGAAAGACTGCTTGGAACGTCGAGTTATTGCATTTATCAATAAAGAAATGGGCGATGACTGTAAGAAACTATATCGTGCTGCTGTGTTGGTAGACAAATACCATGCATCCATCGAACATATAAAGGAAAAAGTATTGACTGGGTATATATATATTTACTAGTAATATAAATAATTATATTTCTTGCAGTTAAGCTGTGAATATGACGGTACATCGAATTCTACCGACATCAAATCAGCATTACACGCCCAGGAAAAAGTTAGTCAAAGCATGGAATTTCAAGTAGAGAAGCTTTGCCAGTTCAGCACCCGGTTATCAGAAAAAATTGGAAAAACGGACGAAGCGCTGAGCAAAGTTCTAAAAGATTTAGAAAACGTGCGTAAGTTACAACAATTGAAGCAATATTTGAAAATTGTGCAAGATATACAAGAAATCAGGTAAGTGAAGAAGGCAATTATAGTATATAATGAGACTAATACGATTTATATGTCAGCCAAAGCCTTAATGATACCATTCGTACAAAAGACGAAGCTAAAATGGTCAACATATATTTGACACTATTTGAAGACAGCGATTGTGAAAATAGTATCATTGGCCGATTATGTAACATCGAAGCTCCGCATCTTAAACTATACGCTATAAAAACGGCTACCTTCTGGCACAAAATTCTCCGCGATAAATTTACAAGGTAATATTTGAATAAATGAGAGGGAAATGTTTAGATATTCGTACAACGATTTTCATTTCGGTGGCCGGACCCCTAAAACGCCCCTAAACAAAAGAGGATAGACCGCGCTTAATGAAAAGTCACCCCTAACCCCACAGACCGCTTGGGAGCTGTTTGAAATTGGGGGGAATTTGGATTTTTTGCAAAAGTTTATTTCATTGGAGCCTGATTTTACGTGGCGGGTCGCAAACCCAGCGCACAACCCATTGCTAAGGAGGGTGGTTTCGCAACCGAATACAAGCTTATAACTCGAGCCGCTTACTCCAAGACACCCTTGCAGCCGCACCTAATGGTGAACAGACGCTACAGACTTCAGTGAGCCCTTAAACCGAATAAGTCTGAGTGGCCCCACTGCAGCTCCCTCTCTTTCTGCCGTGTCCCAAGGCTCCACTGGGATTGGTTACCGCATCTCGAACATGGGAGAGAGATGGGCACGGGACTAAAAATTAATCCCGATCCCACCCATCCCGAAATTTGATTTTTAAGTCCCGAACCCGCTCATTCCGACGTTTTTCAAAATTGTACCGCGGGTCCCATGGGTCCCGATATCTATCTAAAGCAGGCCACAAACGGACAACAAATTGAAACGATCGGTTGAGATTTCAACGTGTTTGGCGTGCTTTGCAATCAGTTGAAGGTTGACAAAAGTGTTCATGTCTTTCAAATTAAATTTAAATAATAATACTGAAAGATTTGCAATCTTCCGATTATTTTGTTTTGCTTTGCTGTTCGTTTTCGTTTCAATAAAACATTAAAATTA